TAGACTTACATAGGGCACCAGATAGTTGAATTCGTACTTCTGCTCTGGTTAATGAATGAGGTCTTGTGTCTTTTTAGGGAGGAAAAACCCCCACCTTATCAAAGTCAGAGCTCATTGGATAATCGGGATAGTTACCGTGACAGCCTGGACGACTACGGCGAGGGACCACAGTTCAAAGAAGATGGGTCATTTATAGAGGAGTATGGTGACGAAAAGAAACAACCCCCGGACGAGAAAGATCAGTCCGCATTTGCGACCTTCGTTTGAGGACATCGCCACTGCGTACCAGTGTTGTTGGGTGATCGAAAAAAAAAAAAGAAAAGCTGTGTACAGTTTATCAATTTTGATCACGCGAAAGCCAGAGCTAGCGTAGTATACAAACAAACCGCTTAGTTAAAAGGATTAATTGCAGCTCGTTCTTAATCGTAAATGATTGATCTGGTACAAGAGGTTCACCTCTTCCTCAGGTAACGTAAACGCGCCATCTCATTCATCGGCGATTCTTGGCTTTTTTTTTTTTTTTTGCACAAGACACTCTATTTTGTCTTGCGTGATGTTAGACTACGTCACCCTTTAAACCCAAAAGTGACCAGCATCTTATCTTTCCTTGAAGTAATACTGCTGAATCATTCATTACGAGCACGAAAGTCAAGGAAATAATTGCCAATCTGAGATTCTTTGATTGTTACACATATTCTCCTTGTCAGCACCCCTGGAAATGTATGGAGAATATAGATACTGATCTCAGGGCGTAAAGAGTTAAACGTCTCTGGCATGAAAACAGTCAGCCACTTAAAAAATATTCGGCAGCCAGTGACTTTAGACTTATTAATTTTTTTTTTTGTTGTAAATTGATTCGAGTCTCTTAAACAAATTGTTGACAAATCAGTGCAGTTATAAAACCTCAAGTTACCTCCGGAAAGCTCTCTGAGTTAAGAAACTGTTTGGCAATTAAAACACAGAGGAGAATTGTTTCTTCTAAGAGAAGTCGAACTGTGTAAAGTTTTTGCTTAATTTGTTTTCACGCGTTTCAAAACGAGCGGCAGATAAAGGTCATATTTATTCTAAATATTGAAAGTGGTGAAAGTGTTAATTGTAGCTGGAATTTGTAGTTAGCTAGTTGCTCTATATAATGTTCTGTGCATTGTAAAATTTCAAAGAAGTTGGTTTGATCTTGGGCTGTAAATTTTTCTCACGACCTAAGGTGAAGTCGAAGTTTCATTTGTTTCAGTGATGCATTTAAGAGGCTTCGTTTCACTAGGGTGACAGTATTTTTTTTCTTTTAATTCTTTCGTTTTTTACATATTTGCGATCTGATTAAAAATAGTTTTTTTTTCCTACTCGTAAGTTTCGATTTTTTTTCGGTTTTAATTCACGACGAAAGCTTTGCAAGATAAGAAAAGAACCTATCTTTAAATTACGGTATTTTCAAATTGATCAACTTTCATTTAAAAAAAATTTTCATCTCCTTTTGGTGCGTGCCTCGGTTTTACTCGACTTGTTGTCGTATTGGTTGGTCCTTTTACGACAACCGTATCAAGATATGGTTTTTATTTGCGTTTCCAGCAGAGTAAATAAATAAATAACATTTCACTGCCATCAACAGCCTACGTTTGACTAATGTAATAAAGTAATATCAACCTCGTTCCCGGGGCCTTTTCCCCTAGGCGGGAAAAGGCCCTGAGAACGAGGTTGAAGTAATATTTCTTCAGTCTTAAGATAAATAACATAACGTTGTCACTAATTTCAGATCCTGAACTTAAAATTATGCCTTCAAGGAGAGTTTACAGGAAAGTAACAGCATTATAGGAAAGTTTCCCGATGTAGCCAACCCATTCACCCCTTCCCCCAAACTTCACGATGTCCCTGTCAAGGATAAAAAAAAGCCCCACCCTTCCGTTATCGGAAAGATGCTGCTACTTTAAGGCGTCCCTACTTTGATTATTTCATAACTGATGTAAATGTTCTTTTAAAGGAGTGTAGTTGTTGTTTTGTAGAAATAAAATTTTTTGAGCCTGCAACTTGTTCGCCCTTGTATTACTGAGAAGCTTTTGGTGTATCAGTGTTATGAACTGCAGTTATCCACGGTGGGACTTGTCTGCAGCATTTT